ACTTGCAGTATGTTCTTTCCTAAGAAGCATCAGCAAAAAGCTGGTCCAACTAGAGATGTGAGTGGCCAAAATAAAAGACTGAGAGCAATTCTGGACATTTTTTACTAAGCCACTAAATCTAGCATTCACAGCAGATTTATAAGACTCAGGGTTCCATCTCTAGAAGCAAAATCAGAGTTCCCTTGCTAAGAATTCCTGGGTTTCTTTGTGATGACAGCAATAATACATGTCATTGTCAACGGCAATGTCATCAGCAGACTTAGCACTGAAAAAGGGGTCTGAAAAAAGTGTGGACTGTTTTAAAGTCCATAAATTATGTTTGGTTTCCATTTGTTATTTCTATGAAAATCAAATCACGTTTCTCCCTTCCTAGAAGGGAAATGATTAATGGATGCCTTGCATTTGGTTGCAAAAGACTGTGTCAACTGTATTGGCTTTTTTTTTTTTACAGAGGTAAAAAACCCATCCATCTGGAGCAATAGGAAGTGCAGTGTTTGCTTGCTCTGCCTGGTGTGAATAAGCAGATTCTGATCATTGCTGAACACTGATCTAAACAGAGAGTAATCATTCTTGCTTGGGAGAAGTAGTCTTTGCTCCTACTCACTCTTCACTTTCATTTAATGTAAGACAGCAATAAAACGGACCAGAGGCACTCTAAGGTTGGTCTCCCACTGCAAAGGTCTTTTGCTGGAAGTGAGATGCAGATTTTTCTAATTCCTGTGTTAATATCTTAATTTTGTAATGGTGGAGGTAGTTTAAAAACTGTCAGTGTGAAAATCATGGGCCCAAGTCTTTACAAACAGCCCAACCAAGCTGGTAATGTTCTCGTTGTGTATGTAGGTGGGGGCAGGTCATTTCTCTCAGGTAACAAGCAATAGGATGAGAGGAAACAGCCTCAAGTTGCACCAGAGGAAGTTTAGATTATGTACTAGGAAAAACTTTTTCACTGAAAGGGTGATCAAGCATTGGAACAGGTTGCCCAGGGAAGTGGTGGAGTCACCATTGCTGGAAGTGTTTGAAAAGTGTGTGGATGTGGTGATTAGGGACACGATTTAGGAGTGGACTTGATAGTGTTAGACTAATGGTTGGACTTGATGATCTTAGAAGTGTCTTCCAGCCTTTATCCCATGGCAATTTCACATCCTTTGGCAAGGGAACCTTGCCTCAAAAATCTTGACTTCGTGAGCTAGGTTGCCTTTCCCTACAGGCTCTAAGGACCTGGATAAATCTGAGGTGTGATTTTCGTATGCCAATGTCATATTGATTTCTTTGTGAATCAACATCATCCAAAAACACGGTGTTAGCTGGGAAAACAGTAAGGTGCAGTGTCAGGCACTATAAAAGCAGAGCATGAAGTTTGATGGAGCAGCTTGCATTTCAGGAAATCCAGCATGCTTTCTACAGTGAAGCCCAAAATGAAAAAAAAATAAATTCTTTCTAATCTCTTTATCATAGGTATTCTTAGCTATTAAAGTTTATGGCGTTTAAACTTAGATTAATTTTTGTTATTATTTCTGGTTTGGGTTTTCGTGTTTTTCTTGTTCAACACGTTTGTGTCTGGTTGTACTTTCCGTATAAGCAGCTGCATAAATGGGTAATAGACTACCTCAAAGCAGAAATTGGGTTAATTTATTTAAAAGGAGATTCTATAGAGTACTTACTCTGTATTTCCTATGCTGCAACAAAAAAAGCATTAAAATTAATCGTACTTTCCCTCCTTTCTCATTTATATTCCAGGCAACTTAGGCAATAAACTAAACTGATGTGACTGCATCTACATTAGCATGTAGTGCAGCTCAGTGGAAGGGTGTTTGTAGAATGAAATGGTTGATGTTGAGATGACATCTGCACTGTTGGCGTTTTGGAGGTGGAGGGTCTGACTTCAGAACAGTGCTGACATGGTCCCTGTGATCTGAACACCCAGAGCAGAGGTTGGTTGATGCACTCCTGAGGTGTGTCACAGTCATTGAATGGTTTGTGTTGGAAGGGACCTAAAAGATCACTTAGTTCCAGCCCTCTGCCGTGGGCAGGGGATGTTCTGGTTTAGTTCCCTTGAAAAAGAATGCCTTTCCTGTGCTCTGAGATCACTGTGGCCTGAGTCAGAACACAAGGACTTGATACAGATGTTTCCCCAAAATTTTGGAGGGCTGATTTCAGACACACACTCCCGGTGTGCTCTAAAAGGTTTATATAAATACACACAGCCTTTCCTTCTTGTTTTGACTTACTTTTCATGCAGGTATCAACTTATTCTACTTATCCAATAAATGCTATCTTTTGGGCTTGTAACTGATTATTTGCACACAGATATGTTGCAATGAAATTTGCTTTTCTTATCTCATAAAAGACATGGTTCTTCAGCTGCGATGCGAGCGGTGACTGGCTCTAACTTGTTTTGCTTTATGACAAGCGAGCAGAGTGATTAGCAGTACAAGGTACAACAGTGGACCAGATAATGCTGAAAGCTGGTCTCATAGCTAGCAATCTGAATGGTGGATAGAGTCATCCATCAACTCCCTGCCCTATCTCCCACCCTCTGTGTGCCCTCGCATAAATTCACCTCAGTTCTGCACAGTTCTGCCACATCTGAGGTGCTGTTGGCGTATGAAACAAAACTGGTGTGTCCTGAAGCACTTTTACCTGTAGGATGGCTGGTTATCACAGGGCAAAGCCAAGGCTTTTGGAGACCAGAGAGTCCTGAAAACAAAGTGCTAATAGCCCAGGGTGGTAGTTAGCAGATTAACAGTGTTTGAAAGTCTGTTTAGGCACTTAACATTTATTGATTGGGTGAAGTATTAGGTGCTTTAGTGCCTCAACAGTTTCTCCCTCCATTCCCTTTTTAAGAAATGCAGAAAAGATCACTTTCACACTTCAGAGGAGTGCCCTGGCAGCCGATGTGTCAAGGCACTGATGTGCTTGGATGTGACAGTGATGAGGTCAGATGAGTTCCTTGCCCAGGTAGAAGGAATGTGAGACTAGAGTGGATCTTGATTAACAACTTGCCTTAGAGGCACAATCCAAAGGCAGTGACAAGACTCTTATTAACTTCAGGGAGCTCAGATCAAGCCCATTGATTTGTGCTTATTTCTGCTCTAGTTGCTCTAGTCCAAATTAATGCTGTGCTGTGATATTTCCAAATACCAACATAAACAAAATCCACTCGAGAAGGAAGTAATAAAAACAGGAAAATCATAATGCTTGAATCACAGTACTAAATCAATAAACGTTAAACAGAGGAACCTGGTCCCAGAAATTAGTGTGATAAGAAAAAGTAACATCACAAATTTTGGCTTCAGAAGCTGGATAGGCTACTTAGTGACAGTATCTTATATTTATATATATTGATAGCTTGATTATTAATCCTTTCTGTGCAACTTATATAATTTATCAATCTTTAGTTTGGAAATCACATTAATTGTATACTTGGAATATTTGAAAGTGTTAAATGAAAATAAAAAATGTTTAAAAATGCACATTTTCATTACTGATTTCTGAAGTAAATTTGATATAATAGGAAATTCTACCTTTATGCTACAATGGAAACATTACCCTGTTTTATGTTAGAGATATAGTGGGGTTGTGTAACTGGTCTGAGATTATTCAAGATCTGAAAGTTCAGGGATTTTGCAGAACCCCAAGCTTCTAAGTCAGAGGCCATGTTATACTACCAAGGAGGTTTCTAGGGACAGAAATAAGATTTGGCAGCTGCTCGATAATGAAGGATGTATTCTGTGTAGATGATATGTGTATTTACACCTTCACATACAATAGTTCTTTAGCAGCTGCTGTCTCACAGACACCAGATGCTATGCTTCCTTATAATTCCTGGGTTGCAAGTTAAGTTGTGTCTAACTCTGCCTGCCTAAATGAAAGAAGAGAAGGAAATGGAGTGTGTGATTTTTGCAGTACTCAGACCCAGACAGGAATTTGTTCTGAGAAATGCCAGGTGTGGATATTTTCATTTCAGTCTTGTCTAGAAACAGATCCGTGTTTTCCATTTGCAAAGCAACTTAGAAAAAATAAAATAAAAATGCTAATGATTCTAGCCTTTAATACTTTTCCAAGGTAAATAGTCTTTAAAACTTTTCATGTTTTTCACTCATGATGCCTCATTCCCATTCCTTAGGGGTATTACTCTGTTGCTTGCTGAAATACTGTAACAATCTCTTTTTACTGCTCAGACCTATATATTCTCTGGTGCAGAGACACATGAGAGGAGTAACTCATTATTGCCACTGATTCATCAGCATTGCAGACCAATTAATACCACAGCTAATGGTGTGAAGTAGCTACTACAACTCTAAGCCATGTATCTTTTGTCACTCCTATACTAATGCTCCTGGACAAAGCTAGAAAGCAAATCTACTATGCAGAAATTATTTTTGACACACTACCAAATCTATAATTCACAGCACAGTAGAAACTGGAGGTGGAAAGAACCCAGCACATTATCAAATGTGTTCTCGTGCCAAAGCAAGACTGCTTGTTGCAGACAGCCAGGTTACGATATTTTAGGCAGTGAAACTGCCTTCTCTGAAATTTCTGCCAGAATCTAACAAAACCCACCATTAGAGATCAGTCTCTCTCCTCTCTCTGTGCTTTGGGTTTCTTTTCTTAGCAGCTAACTTTTTGTCTGTCACTCCAGTAGATCATTCTTGAAAACCCTAGCAGCCCACTGTGCCTGCCAGATAACTTTTGTGCTCTAGTGTTAGAAATTTCAGGTTTAATTTTTCAAATAAGCTAAGCACAGCTTCACGTAAGTCTGGTTTAACTAGTGGTAAAGTCATTCTGCCTATTTGATCGTATGATCTCTGTTTATATACATAGCTGAAACATACTGTTTTAATTACTCAAACATTGGCTACAGTAGTTTTGACGTTACACTGAAGCATTTTGTAACAGTCATATCTAATAAGATTCTCTGAAGTTCCTAGCTGCTTGCTTAGTTTTCCATCTGACTCCTCTTAACCACTGTATTTTCATCTCTCCCTTCCATATAGATTATGCTGCTGACTGATCCAGAAGTTGAAAGCAGCTTATTAATCAGTTCTGATGAAGGAGCCACCTATCAAAAATACCGTCTGAACTTCTACATCCACAGTCTGCTCTTCCACCCCAAACAGGAGGATTGGATCTTAGCCTACAGCCAAGATCAGAAGGTAAGAGTTGTGGGTTTGCTTACTCAGAGCTTCCCCACCTCTCTGTGCCACTGCTGCAGAGCTTTCAGGGCAGTCTTCAGGGGGGTGATACCTTTGGAAATGCCAGTTTGGTATTTCCAAGCAGAAAACATTGACCGAGCCTCGGTGTAAAGGTCAAAGTAAAGGACGTGGGCATCTGCTGTGTTCCTGGGGCCTGGCCCTCTATTACTGTTCTGGCAGTCTGTGTTGATTCATCCATCCTTTTGGCAATATTGTGTGACAGGCAGTGAGCAGAGAAGACAGCTAGGATCCTTCACAAACCTCTAATGAGGCTTTTGGCCTCTTATTCGACAATTCTCTTCCTCCAGCTTAGTATCAGCTCCAAGAACAGTATAAGACACTCCTTGTTCCTCTCTGGTTGGCATATTTTCAAGTAGTTTTTGATTTTCTAAGAGGAAAAAGTAGCAGTGAATCAATTTCCTTTGAAGTCCAGTTCCCTCAGTATGGGTAATCCATCAGCCAGATAAATATGCTGTGAGATTTGCCTTCATTTTTTGCTGCCCAGCCTAACACAACAACACAGGATGTTTTTTGTGGAGAACTCATTGTTGGAATTTTTTGAAAATCAGACACATCAGTACAAGTCAGTTTTGTTACAGTGAAGGACTTGATAAACCTCAATCTGTTTAGTTCAACAAAAAGCATATTGAAGGAAAACTATATTGTTGTGAATAAATATTTCAGTGGGGAAGACAAATCATAGGAGAAACCATTTCAATTTAGTGATGAAAACTTCTAACAAAAATTGATGGTTAGGAGTCAATGGCACATAAACTCAGATGTAAAGTAACTAGCCTTTGGAGCAAACTGCTCAGAGAAATTGCACATTTCAAATCCTGACGTTTTAAAGTTTTTTGAATAGAACTGGAAAAATACCGGAAGAGTTTGTTGAGCTCCCAGGAAAGGTTGAAGAGTAAAATATCTTGGCATTTAGCATACAGGCTTTTACACAAAATAATTTAGTGTTCTCCTTTTTGTTTTGTGTATGATGAATCTCTGAGAATAGAAACTATAAATATAATCAATAAGCTGATGTCTGAATGGTTCGGGTTATGCGTTAATGTGAGGATCAACCTAAAAGTTTGAAATCTGTGATGTTTTCTGTGTAGTTAATTATAAAATAATTAAACTACCAATTATCATTTTGCATAAATTAGGCTTGTTGTTACTCTTACTGTAAATCTGAGGGAAACAAAGGAAAAAAAAATAAATAAGGAAACTAAGGTCTCAAAATAATCATATTGAAACTTTTGGAATATTTTCTTCCTTCACTCAAAACCAGAATCATTCCAGGACTGTTGCTTAATACTCTTTGCAACTGAGAAATGCATCTTACCTCCTGATTATTTCTGCACAGTGCAATACTCTTCACTCACCCCCTCCCATAGCATTTTGTAAAGTGTACTATGGTTATACTCTGCTCAGAGGAACGTGCAGATTAAATAATGTCTGTGTTCAGTATGTAGTTAGACAAGGCCAAAATGCTTCCTTTCCCTTGTGACTGTTGAGTTCTCTGGACTGATACAAAACAGAACAGGATCTGGTCTCTGATGTCTTTTTAGGACCACTGGAATGAAAGTTACTGTGTTTAATAACAGGAAATTTATTACATGAAGATCAATGAAACTTTCAGTGGGAGCTTTGTCAAGTAGGATATAGTAGAAAATTCATTTCAATCGCTAGGGTATCCATTCTGGTCAGGAAATAATTCTGAATTAGAGACCATACAGCTAGGGCATATTTAATTGATGATTAATGGCTACCAAGAAGTCTGTCATCACTATTTCATAGGAAATGCCCACTATTCCACAGAATCCCAAAAGACAATCTGGATATAAGAACAAAGGGTCCCACTGTGTGTTAACATGAATTTATGGGGTTGGTGTTGGAGTTGTGTGTGTGAGGTGTTTTGGGAAAAAGGATATGGGCTGTATTATAAAATTTTTTGGTTATGGATTTGATTAGCAAATGGAATAACTGTTGGTAATTCAATTCTGTAGTTGCAAGACAAAAATCAGGTAGCAGAAAGTCTGTAGATCTGTACCAATTAACTCTAAAATAGAAATTTGAAAGGATACTGAATGGGTATGAATCACAGCCCTGGTTCCTACTTTAAAGCCTAATGGATAAATTTTCTGACTTCAACAAGCTTTGCCCAAGAACTGCAGAGGGTAACCAGCAGGCAAAGAGTATTAATCAGCTTGGACTAAATTAAAGGTAACTCGAACTAAGGGTCAAGTTCAGCCTATGGCTAAGTGTAAATGACTCCCTTTGGTTTCGTGCTAGTGTGTCCAAAGGCAGAATTTTCTCAGAGTAATTAAGAGGTCCTGCAGGTATTTAGATAATTGCAATGGGAGCTGAGGGGTGCTTTGCAGCAAATGACACTGCTGTTAGCTATTTTTCTGATCTTGTGCTAAGGCCATATTTAAAGGAAGAGAATCCATTACTCCTTGGATTCCAGGCACTGTGTGCATAAGGACTTGAGTCACCCAAGGAGGCAAGGGAAATACATCTGCATGGTAGGGAATTTACATTTTGATGCCACTAACTTTGATGCCACTGACTGAAGAGGCTGTGAGGGTTTTCTTGATGGGGACTTGGAAGAGTAAATTGGATTTTGACCAGCTAGGATTGGTGCAGTCATTTAATTTTGCTGTTGACAGGAGGGAGGTGATAATCAACTAGAAAACACTTTTACATCCTTCTAGCAAGTCACTTGATTGTTATCATCCATTTGCATCCTATCATTGCAGCAAATTGGGTGGGGAAAATCAGGTGGTGAATAGATCAAGAGGTGGAGAGACAGGAATCACATTGGAGCTGGAGAGACAGGAATCACATTGGATCTGGACTGTTCTGGTTCTCAGGAGCTGTCCATCCAATTGAGGATCGATGAGGACAAAGCCACCATTAGTGGATGCCTCTCATTGCTCTGTTGTAATAAACAGTAAATGGGTCACACAGAATCATCCCTCAATCTCTTCACAGCCCACTTAGTCTGTTACCATGATAAGATCTTTTCTTGTTTGTTTGAATAGGGATTTACTCAATAGCAGGGAAATCTGTTTTAACTGAAGAAATTTTATGTCCCAGTTTCTTGGGCATTGGTTGTGAGTAAATGTGGTTAATTACTGGGGTTCAGCTGATGGATGATAACTCGTTAAGCTTCAGTGGCTGTGTTGCTTTTGTTCACATATCTTTCTCCCATGTCTCTGCCTTGGGCAGTGGGCTTGAATTACCACAGCTGACAGACCAGTCCCTAATTCAGTCATGGCTTTTTCCTGCCAGTCTTGAGAAAAAAAATAATAATAAAAAAAAAGAGCAGCAAACCATCTGCTGCCTGCACTAATTGCTTCATGATTGCATTAATTGTTCTGGCTGAAAGTACAGTGGTTACTTGGCTGATTCTTGCCACATAATTGCAGAACTACTGCACACTTCTCCATTTTCTGCATAAAGGAGTTACAAATCAGAAGGAAACTCCAAACACAGTAAAGCAGTGCTTGTGAGGCAAAGGCTTTTTGGAGGTCTTGTACATGTAAGCTCTCACGGGTTTAATCAGCTTGCTTGTAGAATGAGGGGCTGCATTTTATGGGAATATTACTTATGTATTACTGTGTAGTCTTCAAAAGTGGTTTGCTGTGTAATCAGACCGTGGAATATAAGAGCCTCTAGTTCATGTGGAGACATCTTCTGCTATTCAGATGGGCCAGGCACACAGAGGAGTGGTTAGTAATCAGCCAGGAATAACAGAGCTATTTGGGGAGATGAAATAAAGGTGAAATTGGGAAACACAAGTCAGACAAGCAAAATGCAGAGTCGTAATTGCCCAGCTCAGGAATAAATGCACAGAGGCACTCAAGTACTGGAAGGCAGCAACAGAGGCTGAAAAGCAGGTTTAAAATGGAGTTATTGTTGTTGCTTCTCCGCTCTCGTTTTAAAGTAACTCTTGAAAAGCGAGGCACCCCAAATTAAAGGAGCCCTGTCAACACAGCACTAGTAAATGAAGAGGTTTATATTTTGGTTTTTTTTCCTTTCTTTATTCATTTTGGTCTTTTCCAAATGTCTGGTTCCATCTGCCTTCCTTTATTTGCTGTGTGTATCATGCTGAAGATGAATGTTATGGACTGATACTCATCTGTGTTTTTAAAGTGATGAAGTTTGGCAAATCAGGATTCTGATACTTTTGAGACAACATATCTTCTGACATCAAACCATATCATCTTCTTCATTTTCCTATTAAAGGATGTCCACTCCTTGTGCATGTAAGTGGAAGAGAAAGGTATTCTTATATCTGGGATGACAGAGAAACCACTTAGAGAAGAGATACAGATTCTTATGGCCACAGGATGTCTGTGAGAGAGCAGGCCAACACTGAAAAGTGCTTCAGCCCCATCTATCCATGTGTTTTGGTCTAATACTTGTGTCTGACAGTAGAGTATCTGCCATAGATGTAGCCAGTATTCTCTTCAAGATGTGATGGACTATTCTGATTACACTCTGTAATTTTAAAACCTTTTATTTCATTGCCTTAGAATCTTTTGAGAGTGAATCTGCTTGGAAAAGGGTAACACCCAGAACCTCCAGGTTCCTTTCAACATAAATTATTCTTTTTCTATTTACACACTCTCAATTTCAATGGTAGCAGTCATTTCTTACTTAGATCAGAGAAAGGACAATAAAATCCAGATTAATTTTCTCAGAAATTGCATCATAGGAAAAAAAGAAAAGGAAAAAAACTCCCCAAAACAACCAGCCAACCAAACAAAACAACAACAAAACCAACCAAACAAACCAACCAAACCAAAAAACCCAACAAAACCCCTGCAAAAGCTATTGCCATCAAATGACCTCCTTTTTTGTGTGTTTTTTTTTATTTTTTTTTTTTCCCTACACTGCTGACAGCAGTGGTGACAACAATTTAGAGGACTGTTCACTTGGGCTAATGTTAGCTGAGGGAG